GTCCAGCTAATTTCTTTCTATTTTTAGTAGGGATGGGGTCTCACTCTTGCTCAGAGCTGGTCTTGAACTCCTGACCTTGAGCGATCCTCCCACCTCGGCCTCCCAGAGTGCTAGGACTACAGGCATGAGCCACCACACCCAGCCGTTTTGTTTTTTGTTTTTTTTTTTGAGACAGAGTCTCACTCTGTTGCCTGGGCTGGAGTGCCATGGTGTCAGCCTAGCTCACAGCAACCTCAAACTCCTGGGCTCAAGTGATCCTTCTGCCTCAGCCTCCTGAGTAACTGGAACTATAGGCACTTACCACTGTGCCCGGCTAATTTTTTCTATTTTTAGTTGTTCAGCCAATTTCTTTCTATTTATAGTAGAGACAGGATCTCGTTCTTGCTCAGGCTGGTCTCGAACTCCTGAGCTCAAGCAATCCTCCCGTCTCGGCCTCCCAGAATGCTAGGATTACAGGCGTGAGCTACTTCGCCTGGCCCCGGCCGTTTTTTTAATTACTGATCTGACAAGATATGGCAAAGGTTGTGGTTGTTGGCAGTCTTTCGTGATAGTTTTTGTTATCAGGCATCCAAGCATGAGAATCCTCTCTTGATGGTCTTCCCCAGCTCTGTTTGTCAATGTTTTCTTAACATTAGTGTCTCCATTTTGATTCTGATAACTTTAACATGCTTAATCTACATTTTAGATAATTTTTAAGTTTTGAATGATGAACTTGACTGTCTTCCCTTCCATTTTGTGAACTGTGAAAAAAGCCAGATAGATTAAATTTTTATCTGATAAACATTGGGATTCTATGTTTTATGTACTTACAGTGCTGAGGGCTTATTGAACATTGAAGCTTTTTGGCTTTATTTGCCAGAAAGAATTAAGTGAACACACATCAAAAGCCTAGAATGGTTGTTTATGTGCCCCTGGACTTGGAAAATATTTTATGATCCAGGCGAATTTAAAGTTTATTATTTCTAGTAATAATAATAAACCTTTATTTGGACTGGTGAGAAAATTTTAAGAGGATATCAGGTGAATTCACCACTTTTTGTCAGATCAGTACATTGCTGTGCTACAAAGTCTGGGTCTGTTAATTGCCAGGAAAATAATGATTAGATGGACATAGTAGCTGGGAGCAACTCTCCTGTTGTAAGATCCCTTGCACAAGCACTGGCAGTCTTGTAAATATGTTATCTCTTTCTCTAAAAAACTAACTGGCCAGGCGTGGTGGTACGTGCCTGTAGTCCCAGCTACAGGCAGGGGAGGATTGCTTGAGCCCAGGAGTTTGAGGTTGCTGTGAGCTAGGCTGGCGCCATGGCACTCTAGCCCAGGCAACAGAGCAAGACTCTGTCTCAAAAAGGAAGAAAAAAAGAAAGAAAACTAACTTACCTTACCTTCTCATAATTAATTTGTGTTTTTGGCAGCCAGTGGACAGATCATTTCATAGTATTTTATTCCTACACAGGTCATGCATTATCTAGGCCAGTATATAATGGTGAAGCAACTTTATGATCAGCAGGAGCAGCATATGGTATATTGTGGTGGAGATCTTTTGGGAGAGCTACTAGGACGTCAGAGCTTCTCCGTCAAAGACCCAAGGTAAAAAGTGAGGGTTTGCGAATCTTTTTGGGTACTTATACCTAGCCACTTAATCTCCGTTGGTTATTAATGGTTTTTTGTTACTTTAGTCCACAAGTGCTTAAGCAAAAGGCCTACATATGTTAGATAGCCTATGAGACACTGAGAATATAGTAGTGAGCAACATGAATGGTCTCTGATTTTGTGGACTATTCAGAGTAATGAGACAGTGGATGCTCTTCCCCATCTTGAATTATCACACCAGTACACGGTAAAATTACACTATGATAAGTGCCACAGAAAAGAGGTACATGAAGCAGGGAGTGGGTGGGATTTAGAGTGTTAGGAGTCAAGGAAAGGTTCTTACAGTGAAATTTGAGCTGGGAGCTGAAGGATAATTAAAAAGTTCATTAGAGCTCTGGTCCCCCACCCCAGACGGTGGACCAGTACTGGTCTGTGGCCTGTCAGGAACCGGGCTGAGCAGCGGGCAAGCAAGCAAAGCTTCATCTGTGTTTACAGCCCTGCTCCATGGCTCGCATCACCACATAGGGTCTGCCTCCTGTCAGGTCAGCAGCGGCATTAGATCCTCATAGGAGCATGAACCCTGCCGTAAACTGCGCATGCAAGGGATCTAGATTGCACTCTCTTTATGAGAATCTAATGCCTGATCCGAGGTGGAGCTGAGGTGGGGAGCTAGCGCTGATGCTAGCGCTGGGGAGCAGCTGCAAATACAGATTACTGTTAGCAGAGAGGTTTGACCGCACAATGAATCATCCCGAAAGCCATCTCCCCATCTGTGGGAAAACTGTCTTCCATAAAACTGGTCCCTGGTGCCAAAAAGGTTGGGGCCACTAGATTAGAGGGGGTTGAAGGAGATCTTCAGGCAGATTTAACATCATGTGTATAGGCCTGGGTAGGAGGGAACTTGATATGACCAGGTTAGAATTTTGTATAATAATTGTTGGAGAGAGAGGAAGAGTTGGCAGATGAGAGAAGTGTAGAATTGCTGAGCAGTTTGAGGTTGATGATGAGCCTAGGAAGAATCACAGTAGAGTTCATCTGACCTGTTAACTTTTCTCCAGCTGCATGGGTTATATGGTCATTAGCTTATACAGTGAAAAGCTAATTAGTAATTAGAAACCAGTATTCTTTCTCTATATAGCTTTGTGATGACTACTTCTTCTAAGCTCATTTTGTCTTAAATTAAGACTCCTCTCCACCCTGACTCTCCAATTAAAATCTAAAACTTAACTCCTAGAAGGAAGGAATAGTTTCCAAAGGAAATCTCCCCACTTGGGTTCCTGTTAGCTAATGAAATAAAATGTAAATCGGTTTTTTTAATGGGGGCAAAGTAATACAAGGGCCTGGGTATTAACTTCTTAATATTTAAGTAGTCAAAATCTATTCTGGGGAAAAGATTCTGCCTCTCTGTGCCTTGTAGAGAAAATTGGGTGATAACATCCCAGAAATATATTTAATATTTAATGGAAAATGACTGATGCCTTCAGAGTAGCATTTGGAATTGTTAATTTTTTGTTTTGTCTCTTAAACAGCCCTCTGTACGATATGCTAAGAAAGAATCTTGTCACTTTAGCCACTGCTACTACAGGTATGTCACATTATATTTCTGCAGTCTGTATCATAGTTGTGAGTTCAAGGGGGCAAACGACGGGAAAGCAAGGAGGGTGAAGGTGGAAATGGAATGCTGTCTTTGGCATGACTGGGAGGAATATATACTACATGTCACAAAGAGTGTCAGTACTATGCTACTTAAGTTTTCGTTGTGAAAAATCTCAAACAAACTGAGGATAGGAGAGGTGCTCACCTCCTAGACGTACTGTTAACATTTTGTCACATTTTGCTTCATCTAGACATACTTTTAAAAAATCTCTGATAGTTAAAAGTCTTTTTCCCTTCAAACATACAATATCATTATTACACACAATAAAATTAATAATAAACAATCAATAATAATTCCATAATCCTAACAGTTTATATATTGTTTCCCCCAGTTATCTCAAAAATATCTTACGTTTGGCCTGTTAAAATCAGGATCCAAAGTCCACACATTGCATTTGGTTGTATCTCATAAGTGCCTTTAATTTATAAAACTTAACCCTCTTGTTTTCATGTCATTTATTTGTTGAAGAACTGAGTCATTTTTTCTGTAGAATTTTCCACATTCTGGAGTTGGCCGATTGTATCCTTGTGATTGTGTTTAATATGTTTCTTTATCCCCCCATTTTCAGTAAATTAGTAGTGCTTAAATAGATTCAAGTTTAAATTTTTTGCCAAGAAAGCTTTATAGGTGGTGCTTTGTATGTTGATGTGTTTTATCACATCAGACTAATTATGAGGTCTGCCTGTCTCTCTTTTAGTCACGTTAAGATTCTGTGATCTCAGGTGGTATTAGTCTGATCTATCCTTTACAAAGATCCTCCAAGAACCTTTCACCTAATTGTGTTAGCTTTCTGTTATCTGAATGCCAGTTTGTCTAATCTTTTGCTTGATTCCAGACCTTTTAAATACTGCTCTTTGAACTTAATCTATTAGGTATGTGCAGGAAAGTGGCTGTTTGGGGTCTGAGGTCTCCAAAATGGTGGTGTGTTAGAGATAAGTGAATACACTGGGTACAACTGAAATGTAACTCTGTCTCACTCGTTTTCAGATAATGAAAGTTTTTTACCCCCTCTACTACATGAAGCCCTTTTGTGAGCTTCAACTTAGATTTTAGGTAATATGTCCTTTGAAGAAAGCCCAAGTTTGTCATTTTTTTTTTTTTTGGGACAGTCTTGCTCTGTCATACTGGGTAGAGTGCAGTGGCATCATTGTAGCTCACCGCAACCTCAAACTCCTAAGCTCTAATGATCCTCTTGCCTTAGCCTCCCGAGTAGCTGCGACTGGAGGCGAATGCCACCACATATGGCTAATTTTTCTATTTTTGTAGGGACCGGGCTTTGCTCTTGCTCAGGCTGCTCTCAAACTCTTGAGTTTACCCAATCCTCCCGCCTTGGTCTCCCAGAATGCTAGGATTACAGGCGTGAGCCACCATGCCTGGCCTGTAATCTCTTTAGATTGGCTGTCTTTTGATAGTTACTGAAATAGGTTGAAAAGAATTTTACTCTCAGTGAAGATTTAGTTGTTAAAGTCTGGCAAAGAGACTTTGCTCTCATGTGGAAACATGATTTTGAACTTACATTGAATTTTGAAGCCTGTTGGTTTCATTGAGTCATTGGCCCACTTCACCCGCTTCATATAGCTATAAATTTCTGTTTGAGAGGGAAGGCCTTGCAAATGATATGGCAGCTTTATTGGAATTCAGTCACTTGTGAAATAGTATGGCTTTCCTGGGATAGTCACTGACAGCTTGAAATACATGGAGGATTTTATAATTGCTGATTTACTCTTTCAGTAAAATTTGTTTTCTTTTTTTAACCCCTTTGGCCATCCCAAAATTTGTTTTCTGATTTATCTAGTCTCTGAATATCTACAGTGGGTATAATTCTTACTTTTTTCCCCCTCTCATTTTCTTTCTTGTACTTTCTGTATAATTTAACATGCCATATATTATAAAGAGCATTTCTATAAGCAAACAGTTGATCCTCACAGCAATCCTATGAGGAGAGTCAGTAGATGAAGAAATTGAGGTTTTGCTTTGTTTTTTTGTTTTGTTTTGTTTTTTTTTTAATAGAGTGGATTTGCCCAAGATCAGATACCACTGATAAGTGGTAGAACAGAGATTTTTTCCTATGGCGCCATATAATGATGTCTTCTTTTTTTTTTTTTTTTTGAGACAGAGTCTCACTGTGTTGCCCAGGCTAGAGTGCTGTGGCGTCAGCCTAGCTCACAGCAACCTCAAACTCCTGGGCTCAAGCGATCCTCCTGCCTCAGCCTCCCGAGTAGCTGGGACTACAGGCATGCGCCACCATGCCCGGCTAATTTTTTTTATATATTTTTAGTTGTCCAATTAATTTCTTTCTATTTTAGTAGAGACGGGTCTCGCTCTTGCTCAGGCTGGTTTCGAACTCCTGAGCTCAAACAATCCGCCCGCCTCAGCCTCCCAGAGAGCTAGGATTACAGGCGTGAGCCACCGCGCCCGGCCTAATGATGTCTTCTTAACCCTTGCTTGTAACAGAATTTGTTCCCCCAGGTTTTTTTTACAAATTCTTTTCCTCTGAACACCAAATCTTTAAAATGTTTTTATTCTTTAATTTTTCACTTAAAAAATTCAGATTTAACAAAAAAGTTGCAAAAATATTATATAGAGTTCCCATATTTTCTTTATCTAGACTCCCAAATGGTAACATTTTATATAACTATAGTTTAATGATCAAAACCAGGAAATTGCCCCCAAGTAATTCTGATTATCTACTCTGACTTGCACTTGGCATTGGTGCTTGTGGTTGGCCATCTCTGTTGGTTTTCATAAATTGAGTTGCATGTGTTTTATTCGAAAGGACAAATGAGAAAAGTGCTTTTCATATAATTTATTTTACATCTTTGCAAGTGGGTTAAACCTTTTATTTTGATGGTTGAAGAAAATGCCGTTATTTAAAGCGAAGGTGGTTCTTTCTAAATCATTTCTCCAGATTTTCCCTTGTATACTAATAAAATGAAATAGATACGACAAACTTTGTATTTATTTTAAAATTTCTTTTTTGCATTGTGGTTTCCCCAGATGATTTCTTTTTGCTTGTAATTGTCTTAACCTAAGTAAGGTGGTAAGGCTTTAGAAATATAAATGACATTAGTAATAAAATTACTTTATTGAAGAACTGCTGCACCTGTATTGTGTGTTAATGGAACTTTGCTTTGAAGACCACTGTGGTTAGAAAATGCTGTCTCCTGAACTTTTATTTATCTATAAAAATGCTTCTGGAAATAATGTTCTTTATAATTACAAATTTGAAAGTGTTTGCTTTATGCAAAACAACTCAATTGTCAGACCAGTTGTAGGATCTGTTTTCTTTCTCTAGCAGTCTTTATTAGATGATGTTTTCCACATGTCCTATCTCTGAACCTAGTAGTGGTTGATGAACTTGATCCACAACAGACTTATTTGGGTGCATCTCAGTTACATATAGCCTCATATAATGAATGGTCCAGATTATTAAATTGTCTGCAGCTTGTTCTTTTCCTGTAGTCAAGTTTTTATCTTCTGCTTGAATAATTTCTAAGTCCTTGGAATACATTTCTGTCTTAAACCAATGCAGTATCTAAAAATTTCTCTCTGTTGGGTTATTGTTTTCTTTGTTTCTTTTTATTGGCCTTGAGAAAAACTTTATCTGCCTCTTCTTTCTTCTTAGGAAATATTTATAGTAACTGAGGAAAAAAGACTTGATGAAAAACATCTAATCTGTATATAGGCGATGGGAATTTAAACCATGAAATTATTGTTGACACTTAGAATGTAGGTTTACATGAAGATGCTATTGTTTTGTGAAGCAAGTTTTGGGAAAATTTCCAGATTTTAAGATCTCATAATCCTGTATAACTTTAACACCTGAAAATCAACATTAAAGTTAAAAAGCTAGGCAAATTTGGTAATACAGGAAGAGATGACAAAAATAGTCTCCATTATATTCTGCTTGGAAACACTTCATGTAAAATTTTAAAAGCCTGCTATGGGAAAACATTTTTAGTCATTTTTCACTTTTCCCCAGATGATATTTTGGTAATATATTTTGAGTATGGCCTGTCTTGGTCTTTGTCATTTTTATCAGTTTTGATTTTTCCCTTCTTGTAAATGAGGGCCTTGTCCAGTGGACTTGGAGAAGTACATCTCTAGGGACCAGACCTGGCGCTAGGGTTGTTTTCTGAGGTCCTTTTTGTGTGGAAAGAATGGTTATTACCAGGGAAGGTTTTCCTTTTGTTTTACTTGCTATCCAGATGCTGCTCAGACTCTCGCTCTCGCACAGGATCACAGTATGGATATTCCAAGTCAAGACCAACTGAAGGTAAAATCACCACACGGTGACTTCTTTTGTTGTACAGAGTGGCCCCTTCTCTGTACCTATGGATCTTGGACTCCCAAGACCTTTCCGTGAATGTGGTAAGAATTTAATAGGAAAGGTTCTTGGGAGCTCACAGACCAGGGACAGAGTGAACCTTCTCTGTTCTGCCCATAACAGAGTTCCAGTCTCTGAATCTTTCTTTGGGATGTAGCACTTCTGATCTTCAGTTCTTCCAGTTGCATTTTCTTTGGGTTTGTGTGTGTCTGTGTATGTCTGTGTGTGTGTGGTGTGTGTATGTGTTTGAGGAAACTGCTTTTTAGATTTTAACAGGTTTGTTGCAGTTAAGTTCATGTCAGGCCATTTCCTAAAGCTTCCCCAAACCTGGGGAAACTTTATGATCATCTTGGTAGATGGCGAGGGTTTCACATGTTTTCTGAATTGTGCCTAATTTTGTAGTAGGTTAGAGGCTTTATACAGATAGCCTGTTGGTAACCTTTGCATAAAGGCCAAAATCTGTTTTTCCCCCCAGGTTTGGGATTCTCCTAGCTCTGTTCACAGTGGGTTGAGAAGAGGTGTTGCCTTTACTTGATGACTGTTGTGAATCCAGAGTTCTCTTTCTTGTGTGTAACCCATTGTGTTGCACACTAACTGGTGAGCCAGAATGGAACTGCTACATCCCCTGGTCTCAGTTATTTCTACTACACTGATAGACACCTTTCCCTTCTTTCAGCAAAGTGCTGAGGAAAGTTCCAATCCCAGGAAAAGAACTGAAGAAGGCGATATTCCCACACTGTCTACCTCACAGCATAAATGCAAGAATTCTAGAGCAGGTATGTTTTAGATCAAGGCTATGTAGACTTGTTTCTCTCTCTTTTCTTTTCTTTTCTTTTCTTTTCTTTTCTTTTCTTTTCTTTTCTGTCTTTTCTTTCTTTTCTTTCTTTTTTTCGTCTCTTTACGTGAAGTAGGAGAGGTAGATGTTATAATTTCTCATTCTTTTCTGAAAACCTTTTGTCATCATTGTTAACTATGAAGATGGTAGTGCTTTTTTAGCAACCTGTGATTACTAGGATGGTGTAAGACCCTTCCATTAGCTGGCATGCTAATAGAAGATAGCTACACCTTTATCAGTTTGTTACCTGGTGCATTTTCTCTATATATGAATTAAGTTGCCTTGGCCATTTTAATCTTGGTACCCCTGTATATATTTGATTTGGTTAGAATTTTTATTTTGATTTGTCTGCTTGAGGCAAAGGCTAATTTTCATAGATTTTTTAAGTTTGCGAAGATGATAAGATATACTTAGTATCATAGGGCCAAGAATGAGTTATATGAAGCCTCTTACAGGTTTAGCTTGCCTAATCCAAAATGCTCCAGAATCTGAAATCTTTTGAGTGTTGACATGATGCCACAAGTGGGAAATTTCACACCTGACCTGATGTGAAAGGTTGCAGTCAAAACTTTGTTTCAGGCACAAAATGATTAAAAATAGTATATAAAATTACCTTCAGGCTATACGGTGTATATGAAATATAAATGAATTTTGTGTTTAGACTTGGGTCCTATTCCTAAAGTATCTCATTGTGTATATGCAAATACTCCAAAATCTGAAAAAATTAGAAATCCAAAACATATCTAGTCCAAAGCATTTTGGATAAGGGATATTCAACCTATAGTTTCTTTGCCCTTGGATGGTACTCACTACATCTTTGCCATCCTATTAGATATTGATATGGTCAGGCAAAATGGGTTAACTGACATTTGCCCTAAAACTCCACTTTGTAAAATACCTCCTAAAATCATGTGAGGTTTTTTGTTTTGTCTTTGGCAAAGATGTATAAAATCAAATTCCCCAAAGACATTTTATGTCATGAGGGTTTCTAGTCTAGGCACCTGGCTCACACTTGGACCAATGGCAGGTTAGGTCTCAAGCTATGTCCCAGAAAGCTATACTGCTGAAGTTGTTTTAAATGTTTAAATTAAATTTGAAACAGTTTATTACGTTGAATTGTTTTAATTTGCATTTGAACATAAACTGAATTTTGGGCTACTTAGTTACCTCAGAACTATTCCATTGTATATGATATTAAGTGTGTAATCTTATTTCTTTAAATCCAGGTCCTTGCTTATTTTTCCACAAAAGACTGTTTAAAAGAACAGCCAATTTAAGAGACTATATGTAGTTTATGATAAAAATTTTGGGAATAGTTTAGTATTTTCGAGAAGGAATATAGATAGGACAGAATTTTTATTTATGAAAAGAATGACCTATTTTCATTCCCTTCACAATAAGTTGTAGAGCTTGAATAGAGGAAAATAATATGGCACCATCTAAGGAATTTGGTTTCTAATAATTTCAGCAGTGAGAAAATAAAAATGTAGTTGAAATTTCCCCTGCCTGTTAGTAGGTGGGATCAGCATAATTTGTAAGTGGAGAGGGTAAGCTTATATTCTAACAGGGACTCATTTATTGCAGAAATTCTTTTCTTTTTTTTGCCCTCTCAACCCAGCTTTTCCCAATTCCAGAAGAACTGGGAAGAGACGGCCTTATTGCAGAAATTCTTTGAACCATATGTACCTTAGCACATTTAAGTGTTCGTGGTTGCCATCTGCAGGCCTAATGCATTGGGAAGAGGTAAAAGAGAGTGAGAAAGTAGGAAAAAACTGGAGCACAACAAAAAAGACTGGAGAATGAGAAAGAAAAGAATTTCATGTGATAACAACAAATTAGTAACTGCCTTGAATGTCATTCAAGATTTTTTACTTGAAATATGTGGGGCCTTAATATTTGTGGTATTTCTAGATACTTTACTCCAAAAGAGCCCATTGATCCAGAAATGGCATATGTATGTATTTATTTGGACATCCTAGAGTTAAGTGTTTTTATAATGGTTGTTACCTACCAAAACATATGAATTATTGAGAAATGTCCCACAATATGTGAGACTGCACTGACAACCTTGTGATTGCCCATTATAGTCTGTACCACCTTGCGTCAATCACAAGGGTTAGGCCACTGTGTATCACCATTTGCAGTGCAGCGGATCAATTAGGCGTTACATACTAGAGTAAGTGATTTTTAAGTTATTACAGTCGATGGGAATGTTTGCAGTGCCAGTAAATGACCATTCAGAAATCCTTTAGGAACAATGTCATTGTTCAGATACTTTCAGACTTTAGATTCCTTGATAAATGATTATCTACTTCTAGTGTCATTACTTGCTAATGAAGCCTAAACAGGGGAGGAGATTCGGGCTCTGACACTATGACAGATACTTGATTTCTAGTTCTTTCTTACTGAGAATAGGAATCTCTTTTTTTTTTTTTTTTTTAACCTATCTTATAAAGAAGTTGTAAGTATTCTAAAGAAAGTCTTGGTTCTTAAGTGTTATATACATAGTTATTATCATTTGACTTCTATAGGTGAAGACTTGATAGAAAATTTAACCCAAGGTGAGACAACTAGGCTGGACCTTGGTTTTGAGGAGTGGGATGTAGCTGGCCTGCCTTGGTGGTTTTTAGGAAACTTGAGAAACAACTATACGCCTAGAAGTAATGGCTCAACTGATTTACAGACAAATCAGGTAAATTTCACATTTGAAGGGGGACTTTTTTTTTTCTTTTGAAAGAGTAACATTCTTGGTTACTCAAGACCACACGTTGTATTCTCTAAGAATTCTTATTTGCTGCTATGACTTTAAATACCATGTGAATGCATATTGATGTGCAAATCTGTATCTTTAGCCCTGACCTCTCCCCTAAATGCCCAACTTCCATGTCCAGCTGCCTACTTAATTCCTCCACTTAAGGGATCTGCCATTTAACATGTTCAAACCAGAACTCTTGATTTTTTTTTTTTTTTAAAGAGATGGGGTCTCGCTGTGTCTCCCAGGCTGAAGTGCAGTGGCCTGATCGTAGCTCACCGCAGCCTCGAATTCCAGGGCTCAAGCGATCCTCCTGCTTCAAGCTCCTGTGTAGCTAGGACTACAGGCATGTGCCACTGTGCCTGGCAAGTTTTTTTTATATTTTGTAGAGATAGGGTCTCCCTTTGTTGCTCAGGCTGGTCTTGAACTTCTGACCTCAAGTGATCTTCCTCCCAGAGTGCTGGGATTATAGGTGTCAGCCACCGTGCCTGGCCTGTTTGTTTATTAAATCAAACACTCCCTTCCCAGAATTTCCTCTTTCATCTTCTATCTACCCAGTTATTCCAGCCAAATATTAAGAAGATAATTGATTTCCTTTTCTTTGTCATAGCCCACATTCAGGTTATCAGCTCTTTATCCAAAATATATTTAAGCTATAACCAGTTTTTACCACTTGAACTGTCATAGCCTAATTCAAGCCATCATCATTTTTCATACAGGTATTGTTATGATACCTCATACCACAACTGCTCTAGCTGTTTCTATTCTTGTTCATCGAATAGTTCAGTCTTTTTAAAGAGTAAATTTTTTTTTTTGAGACAGGATCTCACTCTGTAGTCCAGACTAGAGTGCTCAGTGGCATCATCATAGCTCACTGCAACCTCCAACTCTGGGCTCAAGCAATTCTTTTGCCTCACCCTCCCTAGTAGCTGGAACTATAGGTGCTTACCACCATGCCCAGCTAATTTCTTTTCTTTTTAGTAGAGATGGGTCTCACTGTTGCTTGGGCTGGTCTCAAACTCCTGACCTTAAGCAGTCTTCCCGCCTTGGCCTTCCAGAGTGTTAGGATATAGGTGTGAGCCACCATGCCTGGCCTTAAAGAGTAAATTTTTTTTTTTGAGACAGGGTCTCACTCTGTCACCCAGGCTAGAGTGCCGTGGCATCATCACAGCTCACTGCAACCTCAAATTCCTGGGCTCAAGCGATCTTCTTGTCTCAGCCTCCTGAGTAGCTGGCACTACAGGCATGTGCCACCATGCTCAGCTGATTTTTCTATTTTTTGTGGAGATGAGGTCTCGCTCTTGCTCAGGCTAAGAGTAAATTTTTAACGGTAAAGTTATATTATATCACTGCCATATTATATCTCCAGTGGCTTCAGAAAGCAAGTAGGATAAAATGTAGATTTTTTATCATAGCTGTACCTGATTCAGCCCCCTCCTTCCTCACCTCCTGACATTTTTCTTTGTTCACTATGTGCATTTTAGGCACACCAGGCTGCCTTCTGATTCCGTGACCCCAAAATTCTTCCTCACACACCTTAAATTTGTTCTTTCCTCTTTCTGGAATACTCTTCACCCAAATCCTTTCATTTCCTCAAAATTTAGGACCCTGGTCAAATGTAATTTCCTCAAAGAGGTCATCTCTAGTCACCAAGGCTGGAATGTTACATGGTTCCAGTGGTATACATTCACTTTTTGTTTTGCAGCTGTTGGAAGTGGTGGCCCTGCAAAACACACAGCCAGTAATAGCCTCCTTCCCAGCCACGCTGCTGCTTTATCTTTTTTAATATCCTCCATTGTACTTTGTACTTTGTAAAAATATTATTTACATTTTGTATATGTATTTATTGTCTGTCTACGTCACTGAAATGTAAGGCCCAGGGCTTTTGTATTGTTCACCACTCTGTTCCATCACCTAGTATCTAAAACGGTATCTGGCATATAACAGACATTTTTTAAGTATTTGTTGAATACTTAAATTACTTGAATGAGTATGTACAGTGGCAAAATAATAAATTGTCTCATGAGTATTGTAGAAAAGCATATAATAAAATGTCTACAGATGAACACAGAAAGTTAGTTTTATATATTTAAAGGTGTTTAAGAATTCAGAAAGTGTCATGGCAAAAGGTTTGGGTTACCATCAGTGTTTCTCGTATTTCTTCAATAAGCATCACTGACCATTAAAGGAAAGAACATGTCAAAACTAATGATATCTTTTCTAGCTTCTCAGAATGTGTGATCTGTGAAAAGAATGTAGGGAGTGTATTCTGTCTACTTGAGCAACTGTTAGTCCTTACCTTGGAAGCTCTTCAGTACTGTTTCTCAGGTGCTATACCTGATTTAGTATGAAAATAGAAAATTCCTTGCCAGGCACCCTTATATCCATTCGTGAATTTGTCCATAGTAGGTGCCAAGTAAATATCTTGGATCTGTTGAATTAACACGTGTCCATTGAAGAAAGGCAAGATGTTCTTTGGAGATGTAGTGTGAAAATACTGAGTTTTGGGTTCATTTGTGTTGGTTCAACATCTCTGATAAGCCTCTGACTACAAACTCGTGTTTGTTTTTTTCTATTAGGATGTGGGTACTGCCATTGTTTCAGATACTACAGATGACTTGTGGTTTTTGAATGAGTCAGTATCAGAGCAGTTAGGTGTTGGAATAAAAGTTGAATCTGCTGATACTGAACAAACAAGTGAAGAAGTAGGGAAAGTGAGTGACAAAAAGGTATGTTGTGGGAAAATTTCATGTTGGCTGTATTTATGTGCTCATGGTATAATCTCTTCAGGTCTCTTTATGTCTCTTCATACAACATATTACATAATCTGTCTTTTTACTTTTTAATATTTTTTGATACCCAGTTTTAAGGTTCACGTTAAGTTAACCAAGACTGCCTTAAAAATAAGATAGAGTTTCATGGTGAAGCTCCTACTTCATTAGAAATAATAAGCTACCCTCCGCTTTTTTCCTTATTTATCTAATCTTTCATTGTGAAGTTTTTTCTTCTGGAAACCTTGTCTTGTTAATAAGGCAAAGCTCTAAATGGTCTCAACAGCCTGTAGGATAAAAATCCTTATTTCTTGGGAATTACAGTAGCTTATGTAACCATTTTATACCTAAATGGAAAGATAGATGATTTCTAACTCTTTAGAGTTAAAATAGGAGAAAAGAGCTTTCCTCTTTTAGAACTCTGAGTGCATATGGTGTGAACACATCAAGGTGAAGAGTCATACAGTAAATGTGCCCAAGTCTTAAATTGGGCAGTGGATCCAGTACCCAGCACATAGAACAGTCTCAGTAAGAATCCATTGAATAAATATAGCAAGAAAAACAGACCTAAATTGGGTCATCCTTTTTATTTATTTATTTATTTAAGGGATTTTCACAGGAATTTGAGTTCCTGAAGGATGCCCTGGTACGTTTGCAATGGGCAGATAGATGGGTGGGTTCTTTTAGACTAGTTAGTTCTAAGAGTAGCATTAGAAGGAATTGCAGGTGGCTAGAATGAAGACGAAAGCAACATTTGAAAACTTCTATAGAGAGAGATGGCGCTTAAAATACTTGAACTTTTGTGAAAAGGTTGCTATACAGAGGTTTGTAATTGTATCATAG